CTAGGAGAGAATGTTCCAGAAGCAAGGTGCTGTAGCTGAAAAGACCCACTGAATTAGTGCCATATCCATCCAGTTCCAAGACACTGAGAAAGAATAATCTGACAGTGATCGTAATGCCTGGGTAGGCAAACAGAAAGAAATCAAATCCTAAAATCTCCAGTTCTCAAACTGTTGGTTATGTACTGTCAAGTCAGAACTGAGTTATAGTGACCCTAATAGGGCTTTCAAGGTTAGTATTTCAGGAGTGCTTATAACCAGTTCCACTCACCTAGTGAGCTTCCATGACCAAGTGGAGATTCAAAACCTGGTATCCAGAGTCCTAGTCCATCACTCTATCCACTACATCCACACTGGTACAGAGTTTGAAAGATAAGCAAATAGCTGTGCTTAAGTTTGTTCTCGGAAACAGCTGGCAGCTAGTGAAGGTATTTCAGAGTCCGTGAGATATGTTTCCTTTAGCACATAAGAGTCTGAACAAATTGAAATCACCAAGAACTTTCAAAAGGGGAACAACATACAATGCATTCTAGTAATCAAATCTGGCTGTTGCTAAGGCCTGGATAACAGATGGTAGCAAGGCTGTCCACATATTGGGTGTGTTTTATGTACTTTCCAAATGAGCTTCAACTGGAGGAAGATATCCCATAAACAGTGGCTAGATCCATTAAGGGGAGTGCCAGTTAATTCAGGTGGCAGGTGCAGATGACATTACCTATACAGATGGCAGCACTGATCACTTGCTAACAATTCATCTATTTTGTCTGGATTGAATAACCCCCATCTTATTCACTGTGTAGTGAAGACGTTGAAATAATTTCAGCCAGGTTGAAATAACAGATTAGTCCAAATTATTCAGACTCCTTTGATTGACAGAGCAAGAAGGTAGAGCTTTTACCGTACTTTGTTTTAAATATGCTATTTGTTTCAAGCAATATGGGTATGGCATTGAGCTTGTGAAAATAGTTAAGAATTCTGGTTTTATTTCCCTGCAATGTGTATTCTTCTTTCTGTTTAATGGTGTTTAACGTGAATTAGCTATGCCTGTGATAGAGTTTGAATGCTGCCATGAATCTAACTGCATTAATTAATAGAATTACCAATGCCTTTCCATGGGGATCCACTTTTGTAGAAGTGGCATATCTGTTTGGAACAATATATCTGTAAAGATTCTCAGTCATCCAGGTGAGGTTATCTGCAAGTTGAGTCATGGCAACTGGACTTCTTTCTTATTAGGTTGAAATGTTTTATTACTCATCCAAGTAGCTTCTTCAGTCTGAGGAGAGTTGCTAGGAGACCTCTGATATATCCTCCATGTTGCTTTCCTTCAAATGAAATTATGCTACTGATCGTGGTTCAGATCCATTGCCCCTCCTGTTCTGGGCCATTCTCCTGTTTCATGACTGTTTGGTTTCTCCAATGTAGAGCTCCGAACATTCCTCTTTGCATTGGATTGCATATATAGTATATTGCTCCTGTTGTGTTTTGGTGTCCAGTCTTTTGGGTGGACGAGTCTCTGCCTTAGTGTGGTTTGAATGTGATTTCCTTGGAAATTGATTGGGCCTTACAAGAAGAAATAGAGAACAACATATATTTCCTCGGCACAAACATCTGATTGTTTGGCATGCATAAACACAAATGCCTTTTCTTTCTGTGTTTCAGAAAAAAGCATGGCAGACCATAAAAACAATTGTTAATTTGCCTGTCATCAGCCCTTTCAAGAAGCGCTACTCCTGGGTACAGCTGGCTGGTCATACAGGTGAGATCCTTCTTTCTTTGGATGACTAGTTGCAAGTAGAAAGCAGGTATATATTTTATTTTAGTTGATTTCTACCCTGCCCATCTAGACCAAAGGTTTACTCTTGGCGGCATTACAAATTTAAAAACAGTTAAACCAATAAACATGCACTATAAATACAATATGGTAAAATGTGAATTTAGGAAGAGGGAGCCAGGCGGATCTCCACGGGCAGTTAAAATGTTAATAAATTGAAAGGCTCAAATATGCCTCCCTAAGCCTCTGATATTCAAAAAGAGAACTATGTAGTCCAGCCCATATACAGAAGGTTTGGGATGTTCTGGTCTATTGTCCTCATCAGTCGCAGTCAGCATGGCAGTGTTCAGTGTGATGGGAGTTGTAATCTAAAACATATGAAGGACACTAGATTGGGGGTGCTGGCCTAACCTAAATGCTTGGATTGTCTCAGAACAAACTGACACAGAGATAAGTGTTTTAAACCTGGTTTTAAAGATACTACCTGCTCTGAATCTATGGTATTATGCACCTTGCATATTGAAGTGAATGGAAAAAAAAGTTGAGGCTTTGTTATTTGATTAATTCAGTCAAGTTTGTTCAGCAAGCTCATGAAGTGGAGCTGACCTCTGGGCTTTTATAAGCATCTCAACAAATTCAGATTTCATATATTACATTTCCCACCTTTGTTTATGCAAATAAAACCTTAAAGCATGTAGGCTCAATGTTTCTGACAGACATAGGAATCAGCAGATTGATAATGAATGCCAGTATGAATATTGAAAACAAAATAATCTGACCCTAATCTATTTTATGATTTTTTGAAAGGTGGATCATGCTTTGAATATACAGATAGTGGTATTATATCATGGGAGTTCATTCCATGTCTCTGTCTTTGACTTGTTTACTACTGTCCAGATGGCTTTATATGATGTTCATTTGCCTACTTTACTGCTCATTCAGTAACTATGTGACTGGCCAAATGAAGGGGATGTAAGCCAACACAGCTCAGAAACAAGAGATAATCAAGGGGAAAAAATCTTTTTGTAGGTTCTTTTTTCAATTTGAGATGAGGATTAGTGTAGTCAATTATAGCTAGGTTTGTTCTGACTCCATAGGAACCTCATGCATTCTGCACAGAATTCTTGAGACTGCAGCTAAGATGCAATCTTATATATTGTCTGCATGAATGTGAAAATTCTTTTGTAGCATGAATTTGTTTCAGAAGATATGAGCTAATAGACACCCAAATAGGAAAAAAAACTATTATTCTTTAAAAGTGCAGGTGCCCCACTGTTCTGGCTTCATCTGGGCTGTGGCATGCATTTAGTCTCATTTATTAGTTGGCTGGTTTATGCTGGATCCCTTTACAGGATAGTAAATTAACAGAGCAGCAAGATTCCCAGGGTGTTATCAGTACCTAGAGAAAAGAGAGCATGTATGTACCAAAAGAGCGTGCCTTGATGTCTAGACATGGCTTGCTGGTTAATGATCACAGTGATGAGCTGTGTCTCTGTTGAGTGCTAAGAGTAGGTACAGCATGGAGCTCAATTCAGAACACGGTGATAACATTACATAGATTTTATCACCTTTTTGTTTTGTTTTGTTTTTAACTAGTCAGACACTGTTTGCATTGGGTGCATTTTTTTACAAGTCACAGGTTATCTTTCCAGCTGCCTGCTTCCTAGAAGGTAGGGGTGTGGCAGTCTGAGTGGGAGGAGAGGCCTTTTCCCTGCTGCAAACTGAAGAATAAATGTCTCCATGGTGCTGTTTGCTACAGGGAGTTTCAAGGCAGCTGACGGTGGGACAATTTTGAAGCGCTATTCTGACAATGAGGAGAAATGCTTTCAGCTGCTCATGAAAGATCCATTGTGCTCCTGTGTCCCTGTGTTCCATGGCATGGTGGAGAGAGATGGCGAGTCCTATTTGCAACTGGATGACCTTCTAGCAAATTTTGAAGGGCCTTGTGTGATGGACTGTAAGATGGGAATCAGGTGGGATAATAATCATAATTATTCCAGGGAATGCCAGAATTTAAGATAAAGAGTTGTAAATACTAACAAAATACAGAGATCTGGAAACAAATATCTTGCTTGTGGATGAAACACACTTCAGTGGTCCCCATAGTCATCGGGGCTTTGGGAACAATATCAAGAAGTTTCATACAGTATTATAAACAGTTACAGATCTCAGAAATAACACCATCAGAATTATAGAAACCAGCAATATTAGGACCAATATACATACTGTACCGATATTTAACAGATACTGTACTTAGGTTTTTGGTTAAGACTTATATCTGTCATATAATACCCATCAATGTTTTTATAATTTTGATTGACTGTGCCTGGTCTATAACAACAACAACAACAACAACAACAACAACAACAACAACAACAACAACAACAACAACAACAACAATAATAATAATAATAATAATAAAAATGTTGTTAAAACTTGTATCATTTATATTACCTGAAGAGACACCTAATTATAAGCTTCAACACATTATTCAAGCTACCATAACGTATTTGTCTCATCTTCCCTCGCACCCTGCCCCAACCCACAAACAGTTGTTCATCACAGGGCAGTATCTGGAGTCACAAGCAAGTCACATGCCCGCCCCTCCCACTAGGTTCGCTGGTAAGTAAATTAAGGTAGTCCTTTATCGCTTACCTTCCTTAATTCCTTCCTTCCTTCCTTCCTTCCTTCCTTCCTTCCTTCCTTCCTTCCTTCCTTCCCTCCCACTGTCATAGTAAGAATAAAAAGAGAGTTAATGTCAGTGCTCCATTCTGGCTCAGTACCAGTTGAGTCACATTGTCAGGCCCCACAGCCTTTTCTCCCTAGTTTTTCTGGGTAGCTAGCTGACTGAAAAGGTTGGTGTTCTGAGTTCTTAGAGTTTGGAAAAGCTGTATTCTTCTTTGTGGCCTCTGTGAATGCACACAGTTCGATTGTTCTGCTCCTGCGCTGAACCTCTCAGAAGTTTCTAGAGCTTAAAGACACATGATTAATAGGACGTTTCCCTGTGGAGCGCATCCTCCGCCCATCACCGATCCCCTTGGTTCCTTTTTTCTGCCGTGTTGGGTTTACCTGCTTCGGAGACTAGAGTGAATTTATACTTCCTACTTCCTATTGAATCATCGTTTATTTACTTCAAATTCCTTTCAATCATCTTTCTTTATTTGATGTTTCCCCTGTGAGTTTATTCCAGGTTTTTCTCTGCCCGTGTTTTGCCGATCCCCCCCAACAAGATTCTCCCAGTATTTGAAACAGCCCCGGAATTGGTTAAGTCAGAAGCTCATAATATCCATACCGAGGCTTCCACACTTGCCAGACAACAGATGATTGCATCTTGCCATATCACGGATGCCGCCTCTAAAGCTATGGCCACCTCTATTGCGCTCCAGCGTCATGCATGGCTTCGATCTGCTAGAATATCAGACGATACCAGATCTAGAATAGAGGATCTACCGTTTGATGGGGCTGGACTTTTCAATGGAAAAACAGACCAAGTGATGGACAACCTCCATAAGATCTATAAAAAAGCTTGATCCTACTCAATCCAGCAGACATACAGATACCATCGGCCACAATATTGAAGACAACCTTTTAACCAACAATTTCAACAACCATACAGACAATACAAACCTCAAACATCGGACAGACCCTTTCAGGGACCTTCAACCTCCACCATTCTTTTGAACCCAGCAACAACAACCATGCCACCAACCCTTTCAGTGCCCTCAAAAGAAGGGTAGGCAATACACATAGACTCCCTTCACCTACTCTCAATTCTTCAACCCGGTTGCAAACAAGATTACGTCCCTTCTTTAATGCTTGGCAGTCTATAACTAATGACCAATGGGTCCTTTCTATCATTGAAAATGGTTACCTCATTGAATTTAAAACTATTTCACCAATCGGAAGTTAAAAATACCCCTTATTCGACAGTCCTTCAAGAAGAAGTTTTCCTTCTCCAAAAACAAGCCATAATGACATGCATGATGGTTTCTACTCCGAAAAAGGATGGAGGACTTCGTCCCATCCTCAACCTCAGAAATCTCAATAAATTCATTCAACCTAGACACTTCAGAATGTTGACACTAGACACTATCATTCCTCTCCTTTCACAGGGAGACTGGTTTGTCGTCATCGATCTCCAAGACACGTACTTTCACATCTCTATTCATCTGAATCACCACAAATTCCTTCGATTCTGATTCGACAACACCACATACTAGTTTTGCTCTTTCCCATTCGGACTTTCCACACACTGAGGACTTTTACTAAATGCATGGCACCAATTGCTGCCTACCTTCGACTTTGAGGTATCAGTATATTCCCTTACATAGACGACTGGTTGATAGTCTCAACCTCGTATCACAATGCTGGCAGAGCTACCCAACTCACTCTCGATACACTTTGAGATCTTGGCCTCAACGTCAATCTCGCCAAGTCACATCTTAAGCCATCTCAAAATGCTGCCTACATCAGGGCGCAGTTTGATTCCCTATAGGCCAGATCCTTCCTCCCACATGAGAGGATCCTCAAATTAAAAAAAGGCTATTCAACCATTCCGACCTCTAGCCTTGGTATCAGCCCATCATGTCCAACACCTCCTCAGACGCATAGCCTTGACAACTGTAGTTATACAGCATGCACGGCTCAAAATGAGGTCGCTTCAGTCATGGTACCTGTTACTATTCAATCCCATGACAGTCCACCTGTCTATGCATCTTACAGTAACACCCGAGCCCGCACATCAACTCACTTGGTGGACGTTTCTCCCAAATTTGCTCATCAGAAAACCCTTTTTGCCTCATCAGTTGACGATACAAGTTACCACCGATGCCAGTCTGTCGGGATGGGAAGCACATTATCTGCATCACATGATCCATGGCCTATGGACAAACCAAGAGAAAACATTGCACATCAATCATCTTGAACTTTTAGCAATTATCAAGGCTTTCCATGCTTTCCTACAAGTTATCGCAGGACGTGCAGTCCAACTCACTATGGGCAATACGACAGCCCTTTACTATGTAAACAAACAAGGTACACGTTCTCTATCCCTACTATACTTGACCGTTGAGCTCTGGGAATGGTGTTACCATCATCACACCTTTCCAGTAGCAGTCCACATAGCCACAGACAAAAACTCCCTCACGGACTATCTCACCTTGAGGCCACACAAATGGTTCCTAAATGACACAATCTTCGATCTTCTTTGCGACCGTTGGGACATCCATCGACATCTTTGCTTCTCAAGCAGATACCAAGTGCCAACATTACCGTTCTCAAGCCGGTATTGACAAGAACTCGATCGGAGATGCCTTAATGATAGACTGGGACAAGGACCTCCTCTATCTATTCCCTTTGATGTCGCTCATATGAAGAACCATCATTAGACTTTGACAGTTCCAGTCACCTTGCTGTAGAACACGGGGACTGAAGGAGAGTAAATGCATCACCATTTTTCTTGAAAACTCTGTATCCTCCATAGATTACATCTGTTTTCTAGTAGAGATATATGTACCTCTGGTTGGGAGGCTGCCCCATACAGTTCCCACTCTCTAATTAGCTTGCCAGCAATAGATTTCGCCTAAGTCTTCTAAAAACCAGTAGGTGGGTCATATACAACAAACGAAAGAGTTTCTGATCAGGTTTGGATAAGTTGTTTTTGGACAACAATTCCTAGAACCTTCCACCAAGCACGACAACTCCCTGGGCTGATTGTGAGAGTTTAGAAGTTGTAGTCCAAGAAAGTAACTCTCCCTAATTTCTATATTTTTAATATTTGTATAGTACAAGAGTAGACACATCTCAGGCTTACAAGATCTCTTTGCTTTTGCTTTGCACACAGAGAAAATTACCTACTCTACCCCATTAATATAAATACCCATGTGCCTACATACATAATTTGCTAGCATGTGGATAACCATCTCCACTGCCTTGTGGCTATATCCACTCATGGAAAAGGCTTCAGGAGTTAACCTCGAGGCAAAATCCGGAGCTGGAGTCCCAAAGGCAGCATGTGTCGTTCTGCCAACTCCTGCGACATTGCTGGAACCAGTTGGATTGGCTCTTGCCTTTCCATTGGACCATTTCAGCAATGTGGAGAGGGGGGAAACTGCTGCTTGGGTAACAGCCTATCCTCCATATTACCTTACCCGGGCTTCATGCTCTGGAGAGGACACTCCTCGATTCAGAGCATGTTACCATAGTCTCTCGAGACTGAAGGATGCCTATGATGATCATCTGAATTTCACCTCATTCAACTGATAATTCTACTCTACCCTATTTCCATCTCCGTCAACACCTCTCGAGCTCATGCTTCATACACTTGACGTAAAACACTCTCTGGCTTTTTACATTGACAGGACCAAATCATTCAGAAAATCACAGAGACTTTTTCTGTTTTCAGGGCCCTCATAAAGGAGCTCCAGCTTCGCCTCAATCTATTTCTAGATGGATTGTCCAAACTATCTCATTGGCATATGAGTTAATGGGCAAAACACCTCCTGAACATTTAAAGGCCCATTCTACCAGAGCTCTGCCAACATCTACTGCCTTCCAGCGTGGGACTGAATTCCTTCACATTTTCCATGCAGTCACATGGTCTACTCCATCGACCTTTGTCAGACATTACCATCTCAATGTCAGGTCACGGAATGATGCTGGTTTTGGCAGAGCTGTTTTGGCATCCTTTCTACCGTGATGTCCCACCATCTGGTAGGTCAGCTTGCTAATCACCCAATTGTGTGCATTCACAGAGGCCACGAAGAAGAAAGAGAGGTTACCTACCCGTAACCATGGTTCTTCTAGTGGTCCTCTGTAAATCCACACATTCCGCCCATCCTCTCCTTTGTCTGTCACGTTGTACTTTGAAATAGCTCTTTGACAGCAGCGGATTTCCACAGGAACTGAGGGGATTGGTGATGGGCAGAGCATGCGCTCCATGGGGGAACGTCCCACTGATCATGTGTCTTTAAGCTCTAGAAACCTCTGAGAAGTTCAGTGCAGGTGCAGAACAACCCAGTTGTGTGGATTCATAGACGACCACTAGAAGGACCATGGTTACAGGTAGGTAACCTCTCTTTTTTGACAACAACCCCAGCACGGGCTCTTGCTGAGGATTTTAGGAGTTGTATTAGTATTATTATTAAAAAAAAACATTTCCAAGCTGCGGTCAAACTCTGTGAGAGTTGAATGGTCATAGTCTGCTTCTTGTAGTAACGTAAGAAGAACACCTTCTGGATTAGACTGAAGGCAGTCTAGTTCATAATGGCCAATCAGTTAGTAGCTTAGGAAGCTGCGTTGTAATGGGTCAGTTGGGTTCATCTAGCACAGAATTGTCAAGGTATGAATGATAGTAGCTCTCCAGAGTTATTGGAGTTACTCTCTCTCAGATTCCTTTGCAGACCTACCTGGAAATACTGAGGAACTGAACCCAGAACTATGCTTTGTCACTGAGCTAAAACCTCTACTCAGTATATCATCCAATATTCCTTGGGGGTGTCCCACCCAAAGGCTAAACAGCTAATCTCCAAAGCAAGACAAGGTCAACTTTTCTAGAGCAATGTGCCTGTGGAAAGCTGATTACACAGGATGTGAATAACAATTGCATCCTCTGTGCTTCTGGATTTGAATGGTAACACTATTTGTTCAGAGATGGGGGCTTTCAGATACATATGGGTTAATATGAAAGCAAAATACACAGTTAAGGGTGGGGACCCAACAGTACAGATTATCATGATCCAAATAAGGAGATTATTGCATAGGGATGCCATAAAACGTTATCCTTCTCTTGTAAAAAACAAAGTCATTATTGCTTGGGACATCCTTTATCCAATGTCTTTCTGTTTATTTTCTTTATAGCATCTTATTCAGTCATGTGCTTCTCTCTCTCTTTCAAAATATAAAAAAAGCAAAAAACAAAACAAAACCACCCTACAAAAAACCCCTAGCGAAGCCAAGAAAAATTACTTGTTTGTGTGACAAAACCCAGAATCCTCCAGCTAGTGTGGTGGTGGTGGGGGCATATTGGCTGACAGATGCTGGAAGCTGTAATCCAAAAAAGTAAGTTTTCCAAACTGAAAAGGAAGGAGATGAGCTAAGCCTTTTTCCCCTACCCAGAAATGTAAGCAGCCTTTAAGCAAAATATTTTGATTGCCCTGTAAACATTTCTCAATCCACTTTGTTTCTTCCCTGCCCTTGGTACTTCCAAAAGAAGGCAGCTGTCCTGCCAGCAGTCAAAATATATTATGCAGTTATTCCTTTTCTTTCTGTAACAGGATGTCGCTAGATACAGTCTTTGGGAACGGGAGGGGTTATAAATGGGAAACATTGCCTCCACCCCAAATAAAATGTCATATTTGAATCAAGGCAGTTGCACAAACAAAGTCTCATCTGAAAGTATCTTCCTTCACTGGTTTTACATATAGCAGCTGATGGAGCCTTATTGAGCACAAAACATTTCTGGGGAAAGTTTCAGTTGTTGTAGAACAAGGAAAATCTTGCTGTTTCCATTTTGGCTAACATGATTTTGTATAGTAGCAGCCCAATTCCCCATGTAAGCCATGATGCTTTAAAAAAATTAAACTACCTGACATGTTTAGCCAGGTGACTGATTTCCAGCAAAAGCTTTGATTACCACGTTTCCTCTTTGCCTGTGCTAGTGCTGTTTAGGATTGCAGTTTATAATTTTAAATCTTAGAGCTGATTGGTCCAAATGATATTTAATGTTGCCCATAACAAACTTGGCCACGTATGTGTTGGATAGCATGAAAAACCAGCCTATTCCCCCTGTAATTTCAAGCATCAACGAAGTGTTCACTTTTATGTTATTTTTACAGGACATACTTGGAGGAGGAATTGATTAAAGCACGAGAAAAACCCAAGCTGCGTAAGGACATGTATAAAAAGATGATTGATGTGGACCCTCTGGCACCCACCGCTGAGGAGAACACACAGCGTGCAGTGACCAAACCTCGCTATATGCAGTGGAGGGAGACCATCAGCTCCAGTGCAAATTTAGGTTTCCGGATTGAAGGGATTAAGGTGAGATATCTTCCAGTCCTACTTTAGCTCTTCCTTGTTGCAGCTTTCCATAATTGTTTCCGTTGTACAAGAAAAGTTCTTGAAAGCATCACACTTCAGATGCACATGAACTGGGTATTGTAGGAGCAACAGGAGGAATCGGGTGGGGGAATGAGAATGAAGCAAAAAGAATATATATAAAAAAAAACCCGGAGTGGCCAGTTAATTTTCCAGACTCCACGAAATGGTCTTTACTGAAAGGCAAAGTTGAGGCCATTCTGATTCAGCAGTACTGTACATTTGGGTTTCCAAATCCACACCAGTCTTCATCATAGCATGCTCTTTGTAGGATTCCACAGTGCACCAGTGCAATGCTGGATAAAAAGAGCATTGATTGGAGCCCGCAAATGTTTTAACTTTTATCATACAAAATTATCTCCACATTGAAGACAGTCCAACCTGCTTTACTGGTTTTTTTAGCCCTAGAAAAATTAGTTTTTCAGCGATATAGTCCACCCACTATTTGTTCCTTCTATAACCTATGAAATCATTGCTTGTATAGATAACAATTGAGTGTTAATTCAGGGCCATAATCAAAAGTTAGGGACGTATTAAATATCAGAAATAGTTATGGACCTTATTACCTTTCCCACTACAACATATGCTTCACTGTTCCTACATACCTATATAATATATCTGTGCATACATTCTTTAATTCTGAAACATTTTTAGATGACTTAAGGTCCAAAAGGCCTTTCTGTCTCTCTCTGTGTGCATGTGTGGTACATAAATAAAACGTATGAAACATGTTTTTCTGTCCTCCCAACGATAGGTCAGGAAGATCTGTTAGCCAAAAAAGTGTGGAGGATGATGCTGTCAGATTTTTCCTTTTATGAATCTCATATCGATGTTGCAGAATACACAGCTAGTGTATGCCATCTGGTAGCAGACTGAAAAGATCCATTCTCTGTACTCACACTCATGGGGAGTGTATATCACTTCAGAGTTCTCTGAGATATCTCTGCCCACGGTGCATGGCTGTTACATAACTTTCCCTTGTCTTGTCATCTGAATAGGCTTGTGTCTGAGCCTTGGCCCACCCTTCTGGAGCAAAAGTTCTGGAGGAGTGGCAGTGAAATGCAGAGGATGTTGGGCACGGTGCAATAATTTGACTCTGTTAAGAGATCATTCTGTAATTTTGGATGCCTGCACAAGATCAAATTTGATTAGGCATTTGGTTACTAAAAATCAGATCTGAATTCCATCCAGTTTTATTTCACATCTTTTAATTGACAGAAGCATGATTTCATAACATAGTACTGTACTTTTTTCACAAGCATTGGTAGTCATTCATTATATTCCTTCCCACTTTGTCCTGTTTGTAACAAAGTGGATCCAGACTTAGACATAAGAATAGACCAGTTAAAATCAATGGGACTTAATTTAATCATGTCTTGCTTAAACATGTAGGATTTAACTCTTATAATGTACTATGCCTGGACCCAACTGCATACAAGCTGTCTCTAAAGTGCATTAATATATGACAGGGTGATTTAGACAGACAGACAGCAGCTGCTATGTTTATCTTCTGTTTTTTTTTTCCAATGAGCTAACGGTTCCCTTCTCCACAGTGAACCCCAGTCACCGATTCTCAGTCCACTGAACTGTGGTCACACTTACTGAGACCCCTCCTCCCCCCATTTCCTCATGTTGGCTGGAGAGGATGGTATTTGTCATTCAAAACATCTTGATGGATCAGGTTGAGGAGGGCAGTTTTAAACATTATGGCATGCCAGCGTAGCTTTCTGCAGTTAGTGTGCTTAGCTTAGCTTAGTGGTCTTGATGGAACTAGTTCAGTTGCTTCTGAAGAAAAGTCACTCAGTTCAAAATTTGGGAGGCCTTTTTTAAAGCATATCTTTTGAAAGGCTCTGCTTTTCATTGTTCTTGGGCTTCTGTCTTCTTTCCTCTGTATGCCAAAGTACCGCTTTCCTTTTCCTCTTGCAGAAGGCTGATGGTACGTGTAACACCAACTTCAAGACAACCAAGACGCGGGAACAAGTTCTGCAGGTTTTTTTAGAATTCATTAAGGGAGATACAGCTATACTGGTAAGCAAAACGTGGTCATCTGAGACTGATCATTTACATTCTTGAAGCTTTCATAGGCTGGCTATTTAAAGCTACCAGAAGGGACAGACGTGAAATAGACAATAGATGCTTTTTCCACCGGAAGCCACATTGCCACTACCTTCAAAGCAGCACTTAAAACAAAAAACCTTCACGTCTCTCTGTTCTGGAAAATTTTTAGACTAACATCCTCTACCTATCTTCTGGGCAGAGAGCTAGAGTTTGTAGTTAGTAGCTGAAATGCATATTTTCAGGAATGATACGGTTACTTTTAAACCCATGTTGTTTTGGCATTTGGCTCAGTTTTCAGGGAGACTCTGTGGATCTCCCTGTGGAATTAGACAGGGTTGGATCTCAGGGCTCATCTACACTGCTCATTTTGAATGTTAAAAAAATTTTATTAGTGATGCAGTGCCTCAGTGATAGTATATCAGAATCTGATTTCCAGCCCCTCCCCCATTTCCTTTGTCCTCCACCAAAGGATAGAGGAAGTGCTCAATTTGCTGATATCCTGAGGTTCCTTGACAACCTAAAGGCTAATTATTTGGTCCATTCCCAGTGATCACAAATGCTGGAAATGGACTAAACCAGAATGATCCCACCCCCACAAAAATGGTTGAGATCCTCTGACAGGAGCTCAGAAAGGTGTAGTGGGAAATACTCTAGGGATGGTTTGCTTTGCTCAAGCAATTATGTCACGTGATTGCTGGAAAAAAAAGAACATGCCTGTCCCAGGGTCTTGTCCCTGGACTAAACAGCGGAACAAATGCTCACCTGATTGGCCTCTCATTTTCCAAGTAGTTTTGGCATCTTCCTGAGGCCACTGGAAGAAACTGGCAAGAGACTGAGAGCAGTGTCACTAGAATGCTGATGGTGCTCAGCTCTTTCCGTCTTTTCCATCTGATTTCAGGGAGGCAGTGGAAACCCTGAACCTGAATCTGGGTCAATGTTGGTTTGAATGTTGGCTGGCAAACTGAGATTCAATCCAGACAAGACTGAGGTGCCTGTAGTCACAGTAGGGGAACTAAACTTGGAAAGGGTATTCAGCCTGTGAAAAAGGAGGTATCCTCTGATCAGTTGAAATCTTTCAAAGAAAATATTAACAATAAGTCTTCATTAATGACTGGCTTGGGTTGCTGCCAAATGGTTAACATTTTTGCCAGATACTTGCTAAAATTTAAATATTATGAGAATGACATCTGCCTGTCTGTTGTGTTTTGAAATATCCATTCTTAGAGGAGTTGGGGTTTAAACTGGAGAGTTTCTTACGTTACGCAGTGGCAAATCACTATCTCATACTACAGTTTCTGTCATAACAGGGTTAAGCTGGCTTTTCTTTCTTTAATTGTTTTCCCTTTCAGATACATACCACAGTAAAAAATTAACCCCTCCTGCCTTTTTAACAGAAAAAATACTTGAGCCGCCTGCATGAAATTCGTGGTATTCTTGAATCTTCTGACTTCTTTAAACGGCATGAGGTGAGTTGTGGTGATCACAGCACATAATTAAGTATCCTAAAACATATATTATAGTAGCTATGCAAAATGTCAAGTTTGTGTAGGGTACCTGGAAGACATCTGCAGTTCACTTAGTTCCAACCACTTTCCTTCTTATCATAAAAAACTTCCCCAACTTGGTGCCAGCTTACATATGCCATTCTTTTCCACCCTTGAAAATGAAACAGTGCTAGTGAGTAGAATAAAACATTAGTGGCTTCAGTCCTCTTGGCGTATCTTTACATCTTGCAAGCAGATTGACAGCACCATCTGTGATTGTAATATTTAATCTAAAGTATTTATCGTGAAGTTTAGTATTCCTCCCCTTCAGGTTCCAAAGCTCCCTTTCAACCTGGGGCAGCCTTGAGATGGGAGTAGGAATGGGCGGGAGACTTTAATATCTAAAAAGTGCAGCCACATCTGGTGGCAGCAATCTGGCAACAGTTTTTGGATATTAAAGCCCCTACCCCCAGGGCCTAAAAGTGTAAGGTTACAGAAAAGGATTTCAAGCACTGCGAAGTATACAGATTTAACCTGCATTCAATTAAACTGAATGAATAAATTTCTTGCCATCTCCTAAAACAGAAGTCCCCAACCCCCATGGACCGCCCAGTGCCAGTCCATGGCCTGGGCCAGACTGGGCTTTGGAGACAGACCACCCCATTGCATGCACTCCCCCCTACATAGCCCCTTTGTGCATGCACGCGAGTGTGTGTGCCCCCGCCCCTTTGTGCATGTTTTCAGGTGTACGCACACCCTCCCCAGTGCCCCTGCCCCTTTGCACATTCACACGAGCGTGCACCCCCACCCCTATGTGCATGAGTGAGCGCGTGCCCATGCAAGCGCCCCCTGCCCCTTCACGAGTGCACGCACACCCGTGGGAGTGTGCCCTGCCCCTTCGTGCGTGCACATGAGTGCAGGGGTGCCCCACCTTCCCTGCATATGGACTCTGTCCTCCCCCAACCGCTTTGTGGTGTCAGAAAGGTTGGGGACCACTGTCTTAAAGTTAGATTCCTACCCTACCTTTGTTGGGTAGGAATTCATTTACAGAAGAAGTATGGTTCAGTCCTAGCGGGTTGGAGACGACCTTCCAAGGTGTTCCATTGCTGTCCTGCTTTAACAGTTAGGAAGCTTTTCCTGGTATTCAGCTGAAATCTGTTTTTTTGTTACTCGAGCCCATTATTACATGTCTTGCACTCTGAGATGATAAAGAACAAATCCTGCCCCCTCCGTATGACTACCTTTCAAGTATTTGAAAAGAGCTATTTTATCTCCCCTCCATCTTCTTTTCTCAAGGGTAAACATGCCCAGTTCTTTCAGTCTTTCCTCAGAAGGCTTGGTTTCCAGTCCCTGATCATCCTTGTTGCCCTCGTCTGAACTTGTTCCAGTTTGTCAGCATTCTTCTTAAAGTGCCTTGTCCAGAATGGAACACAGTACTCAAGATGAGACCTGACCAATACTGAATAGAGGAAGACTAGTATTTTATGGAATTTGGAGACTATATTTCTGTTAATGCATCCTAAAATAGCATTTGCCTCTTTTGCAATCGCATCACACTGTTGGCTACCCTCGTCTGAACTTGTTCCAGTTTGTCAGCATTCTTCTTAAAGTGCCTTGTCCAGAATGGAACACAGTACTCAAGATGAGACCTGACCAATACTGAATAGAGGAAGACTAGTATTTTATGGAATTTGGAGACTATATTTCTGTTAATGCATCCTAAAATAGCATTTGCCTCTTTTGCAACTGCATCACACTGTTGGCTAATACTTAACTTTTGATCTACAACAATTCCAGCACCCTTCTTGCTCATAGTATAACTAAGCCAAGTGCCTCCCACCTTGTAACTGTGCATTTTCCCTCTTGCCCCAGGTGTAGAACTTTGCAGTTATCCCTGTTGTTTTCAGCCCAATGCTCAACCCTATCAATATTTTTTTAATTTCCAAGATATTAGCTATTCCAACCAATTTTGTGTCATCTGCAAATTTTATAAGTATTTCCTGCACTGCCTCATCCAAGTCATTAATAAAGATGTTGAAGAGCACATACCTGAAGAGTGCTTTTTTGGTTGCTTTTAGTCTCTCTTGCTAACCTCAGCTCATTCTTTGCTTTTGTCATCCTTTTTTTTTTACTTTTTACTTTTGGTTTTTACATGTTTAACATAACAATATAAACTTAAATTACACTAAAAAGAAAAAAAGAGTTTAAAATGATCAAAACAGAATCAAGAGAATAAAATAAAACAAACAGACAGACAAAAGGTCAATACAATACAAAATAGTATGGTATTATATACGTTCACAGTAAACTTATGCATTTACAATGAGTCAATGAAGGGCTTCCATATATCTGCATAGATAACCTCACGGAGTTGGTTTCTATATGATATTCATTCAAAAGGGGCTAATTGTCTCAGGTTTTCTGACTTTTGTGTGAAGGGTGAAGGATGATCATCTTTCCAGGCTTTTAATATAAGTCTTTTTGCCACCACGAATGCTCTCAGAATTCAGTTTCGTTGACCCTTTGTTAGACCCCATACAGCGTGCTTTTGCCATCCTAATGCCATCCCTTCAGTTCTTTGCTGCTTATCCGCATTCTTCCTTTGTGGCTTGACTTCCTTCCATTTCCTATATGTGTCCTTTTTCATTTTCAGGTCTTCTCTGAGCTTTTTGTGAAGCCACAATATGGACTAAGGGCTTTTCCATCTGGGACTTTGTCCATCTTAGTGTATTGGGCTCCACATTGATTTCTTTCATCTTTGTTAAACAGAGGAGAATAATTTTTGCTTGGATACAAATTGTGGTAAACTCAATTCTCTTGTTGTTGTTGTTTAGCTGTTAAGTCGTGTCTGACTCTTTGTGGCTCCATGGACCAGAGCACACCAGGCTCTCCTGTCTTCCCGTGCCTCCTGGAGTTTGGACAACTTCATGTTGGTAGCTTCAATGACACTGTCCACCCATCTCGTCCTCCGACGTCCCCTTCTCCTCTTGCCTTCACACTTTCCCAGCATCAGAGTCTTTTCCAGGAAGTCTTCTCTTCTCATGAGATGGCCAAAGTATTGGAGCCTCAGCTTCAGGATCTGTCTTTCCAGTGAGCACCCAGGGTTGATTTCCTTCAGAATGGATAGGTTTGATCTCCTTCCAGTCCAGGGAACTCTCAAGAGTCTCCTCCAGCCCCACAATTCAAAAGCATCAATTCTTTGGCGGCCAGCTTTCTTTATGGTCCAGCTTTCACTTCCATACATCACTACTGGAAAAAAACATAGCTTTGACTATGCGGACCTTTGTTGGCAAGGTGATGTCTCTGCTTTTTAAGATGCTGTCTAGGTTTCTCATCGCTTTCCTCCCCAAAAGCAGGGGTCTTTTAATTTTGTCCCTGCTGTCCCCATCTGCAGTGATCATGGAGCCCAAGAAGGTAAAATCTGTCACTGCCTCCATATCTTCCCCTTCTATTTCCCAGAAGGTGATGGGACCAGTGGCCATGATCTTAGTCTTTTTGATGTTGAGACCATTTTTGGCGCTCTCCTCTTTCACCCTCATTAAGAAGTCCTTTAATTCCTCCTCACTTTCTGCCATCAGAGGGGTATCGTCTGCATATCTGAGGTTATTGATATTTCTTTCGGCAATCTTAATTCCAGTTTGGGATTCATCCAGCCCAGCCTTTGGCACGATATATTCTGTATATAAGTTGAATAAGCAGGGAGACAATATACAGCCTTGTCGTACTCCTTTCCCAATTTTGAACCAATCAGTTGTTCCATATTCAGTTGTATCTGTTGCTTTCTGTCTCACGTATATATTTCTCAGGAGGTAGATAAGGTGATCAGGCACTCCCATTTCTTTAAGAACGTGCCATAGTTTGTTGTGGTCCACACAGTCAAAGGCTTTTGCATAGTCAGTGAAGCAGAAGTAGATGTTTTTCTGGAACTCTCTGGTTTTCTCCATAATCCAGCTCATGTTAGCAATTTGGTCTCTAGTTCCTCTGCCCCTTCGAAATCCAGCTTGTACTTCTGGGAGTTCTCGGTCCGCATACTTTTGAAGCCTAGAATGTAGGATTTTGAGCATAACCTTGCTAGCATGTGAAATGAGTGCAATTGTATGGTAGCTCTTTGAGTACAAAGCAGCAAAAGGCAGCACTGAGGACAGGGGACAAATACTGCTTATGAAAGAGCTGCAACATGCATTAATGTGACTATAAACTATTAGCATGTTAGTTCCATGTTAGATCCAGCAATGGCAGCAGCAACTCTATATAGCTGATAGAATATTAGGCCCTCTGTTTGTCTCTTCTTTGCAGGTGATTGGAAGTTCATTGCTATTTGTGCATGATGATAGTGGACGTGCCAACGTGTGGCTCATTGATTTTGGAAAGACTACCCTTCTCCCAGATGGGCAGACCTTGGATCACAGGATCGCATGGGAGGAAGGAAACCGGGAAGATGGCTACTTATTCGGACTGGACAATTTGATCAATATCTTAAGAAGTATCTTGGAGAGATGAAAGAGACTGACTCAAAGTCAATAAAGGACCAGTCAATAAGTTTTAATTTTTCTAGAATTTTTTTCATTCAAAGATAAGACTTTAAAAGCTTTTGCCAGACTCTGGGGACATGAGGAACCAGGAGCCTAAAGCAAAAATAGAATAAAATAGACAGCCAGATTGTGGCAGTCACTGTCTTGAAACCCGAGGAATCCAGGGATAACCATGAACGCACTGGGCTGGCTTAAGATGTGTGCAGATGCAGCAGAATGAATCCTGAGCCTTTGGACTTGGAATCAAGACGCGTGGACAAAACCATTCTACATTGCCTTTAGTGAGCTAGAGTGAAATTTCATAGAAACACATACGAATGAAAAGATCAGAATTCTCCTCTTAAAGGAATTAACAGTCAAGCTTTGTTTGTAAACCTACAGATATGGATGTTCACATGTCTTATGTGTCAGTGTGGTATATGGAACTTTGCACAGAAATTTATGGACTCTCAGTTTTTTCTCTTTTTTCCCTTTTTTTTGAAAAAAAAATAATTTTCATGATGGTGCAGAAAGGTTTTAAAATGTGCATAAAGTGCTGTTGAAGTTTCAGAAACCAAAGGACACCTTGGATTTCTGTACCCTGTGTATCACCTTAACCTTCTATACCCTCTGACTCTCTTCCTCTGCCAGTTCGCGTTTTCTCTCCCACTTCCTTCCTTGGCAGATTATTTTCTACTCCCTTGCAACCTGTCATTGTTTAAAAAAAGGACCACACAGAAATATTTCATGCATATTTAACCTGTGGTCTTACCCACAATTACATGTACTGTATAGCTAAGGGATTATAAGTTTTTAAGCTTCTATCCACAAGTAACAGTGAACAGGATTGCAGTTGAAGGACAGGCAAGTGAAAGGCATGAATTCACATGGTTCTGAATTCAGAATTTGTTTTGAATGCATAGCTGTCCCCTTTATTACAGAGCAAATTGAGTTGGCCCTAAATTTTAGAGTAGTTGAGTAGTAATGGGAGATTCTCATTCTCATCTGATTTTGCATTAGTTCCTCATTTTAATATTGTATGTGCCCTTATCTTTTCCTGCTGAGACTATAAAGCTCTTTGAGTTGTTTAATCATCTTATCCAGGGGACATATTCCTAGTATGAAAGTAGGGTAGCTGTTTTAAAGAGGTTGGTGGTGGCCCAGAAGTTCTCTTTTCTCGCCAGCTGGCATGCATCTAAGTGACTGTGCGAGCACATCTCATTGACTCCATTCATTAAATGAAAGCAGTACTGACAGACATAGTTGGCACTGAAATGTTTCACATCCAGGGACTCAGAACCTGTCATGTTGTCGCTTGAGAAGATTGCTTTGGCTCTTGTTGCTTCTAGGCTTTCCACTTTTACTTCAGCATATTAGCAGGTTTCTACAAGATTAAGGTGAAATATGTAGTTATCCTTATAGAGAGACATTGGAGACTTGAAATGTTAGGTGCTAGGTGCTTCATTTGCATGGAGTATTAGAGATCTATTCAGGAATATCAGATGAATGTAAAAGATTAAAAATTCATTTCAAAATCAGTCACTTTAGCAGTTACTGTAACTAGATTTCAGCTGTGAAGGTGATGTTTATGTGACAAGACAGTGCTGTAATTTTAACCCATCTGCAAGGTGATCATAGCTTGAAGTTACCTTGACTCATAGTCACAACGAACAGATCTTGCAGAACCCATTTTCCTGTCTTCACCAATGTAGTTCTAGAACTTCAGTCACCATGTGGTGCTTAGTGAGACAGTCATGGCCAAAAATATTGGCACTTTTGCAATTCTGTCAGAAAATGCAACCCTTCTCTCAGAATATGGTTGCAGTTGCAAATGTTTTGGTACTCACATGTTCATTTCTTTGGTTTGCATTGGAACAACACGAAAAAACAAAGAAGAAAAGTCAAATCTGATAAATCCCACACAGAAACAAAAAAATGCTCTGGGCCAAAATTATTGCCACCCTTAACTTTATATTTGGTAGAACCCCCTTTGGAAAAAATAACTGAAATCAATCACTTCCTATAACCATGAATGAGTTTCTTACACCTCTCTACTGGAATTTTGGACCACTCTTCTTTTGCAAACTGCTCCAGGGCCTACAGATTTGAAGGATGCCTTCTCCCAACTGCTGTTTTGAGATTTCTCCACAGGTGTTCTATGGGATTCAGGTCTGGACTCATTACTGGCTATTTCAAAATTCTCCAGCGCTTTGTTTGTAACCATTTCTGAGTGCTTTTTGAAGTGTGTTTTGGGTCATTGTCCTGCTGGAAGACCCATGACATCTAGTGGAGTTTTCTGACACTGGCCACTACGTTGCGCCCAGGTAATAATCAGATTTCACGATACCGTTCGTACAGTCAAGGCATCCGGTGCCAGAAGCAGCAAAGCAATCCTAAAACATCTTTGACTCTCCACCATGTTTGACTGTAGGGATTGTGTTCTTTTATTTGAATGCCTTATTTCTTTTTCTGTAAACAGTGCCATGATGTCCTTGACCAAAAAGCTCTACTTTTGTCTCATATGTCTACAGTCCGTTCTCCCAGAAGGATCATGGTTTTGTCACATAAGTTTTGGCATACTCGAGTCTTGCTTTTTTATACCTTTGTGTCAGCAGTGGTGTCCTCCTGGGTCTCCTACCATAGCGTCCCTTTTCATTCAGATGGCAATGGATAGTGCGAGCTCAAATCCACAGACAACTCTTTACACTTCATCCTCTTTTCTCCATGCTCAGTGTCACACAGAACAGAAAGGCTGAGTCAACTTTTCTCCATCTTAACTGGCTGCAAGTATGATTACTATATTGCCCACACCTCTTACTTGGGACAGGCATGTCTAAATACAAATTAAAGGAGCATCACATGCTTGACAAGCAATTATTTCTTAAAATTTAGACAGAGTGCCAATAATTTTGGCCAGTGCATTTTTGGGTTTCTTTGTGGGATTGTATAAGATTTGACTTTTCTTCTCTGTTTTTTGTGTTGTTCCAGTGCAAATCAAAGAAATGAACATGTGAGTACCAAAACATATGCAACTGCAAACATTTTCTGAGAGAAGGGTTGCATTTTCTGACATAATTGCAAAGGTGCTAGTATTTTTGGCCATGACTGTATATGATCTGAAGTTATTTATATGCTCATAGGAGCTATATGGCAAAACTGAGTCCTTTACAGGAGGCAGGGAGGTAGTAAGCGTACACAGTGAGACAATTGGATGACTGTGGGCCCAGTTTCCCTATATGAAGTTGACTGTGTCTTGGGGAGCTTGGGCAATTTTTCCTTGATTCACCCTATCAGATCTTTCAACTCTGCAAGGATCAAAATTTGGAGAAGTTCCCTTTTTTGGCCATTGGCAGTGATGACCAGAGGAACCTTGGAATTTTAGTTCAAAAATATTTTTTCCAAGCTTTGCTTAGGATTCCATAATTATGATAGTATAATCACTACTTAGTAGTTGTACATGAAACATCAGTTTATAAAATATGTACTGTAAAGATGATTTTAAAAAGTTGGGTCACTGCTTTTAGTAAATCAACTGCTAAGTGTTGTCAATGCATTGACCTATTTCTACATCACATTCTTGGTGCCAATTGCAGCAGAGTTTTCTCCCAAGACTAACCTTACAAATCTTCCATCACTGCTGTCTGCTCTTGTGCTGCCTGCAAAAGGGTTGGTTGAGAGTGAGCAATGAATCCCTCTCCACATTTTGGATGTTGCCATTTTGGAGTGCCAAATTGTAACATGCAGTTCAAAGAGACTACTTCAAACATCCTCCTATGTGCTCTGTGAAGACTGAAGATTCACTTTAAAAATTCCACAAGGTTAAAAATCCACTAAAACATGCAATTCTCAAAATTTTCAGGTATTCACAGCAATCTTTGAGCATGATGTTCTGCATTTGTAATTCATTCTTCACAGGTTAAATTTAAGAACTTTAATTTTTTTAAAAATCTAGCAGGGAAAATGTAGTTGGGTGTACAGTTTTGAATGATGTTTAGCAGCAAGATTGGAAGTAGCAATGCATACAAATATAAGTTTTGTTGTCTGAAACTATACTTCATCTTAAAAATCCTTTGGCATATTTAATGGAAGATTTCTAATGTTACACACTACTGCTGTTTCTGCGTTTTGGAAACGAGGCTGTGCATCTGGTCAACTTTACACTAGCATAAGTAACAAAAGGACTTTTTGAATTTTTTTGGAGCAGGGAATATGCTAGAGAGCTTGTAGTGATTTTCACATGGTTGGTTGTGAGGGATTACATAATGAAATAATTTGTTTGCAGTCTGTATGTGTCTGTATGTGTAGAACTTGCTATTTCTTTGTTTTTCTCTAGACCCATCACAAAATCTCAAGGCAAGTTCCAAGGTAAAAGGAAAAAAAATTAAAATACAGTACTACATTAATAGTATAATATAACAAAAGTTTAGCTGGCTGGATAGCTCAGTGACTTAGATGTCTGGCTGGAGAGTCAGAGGTTGGGAGTTCAAATCCCCACGGTGCCTCCCAGAAAAGCCAGCATGTGTAGCCTTGGGCAAAGTACATAGTCCCAGGGCATCCCCAGAAGAAGGGAATAGTAAACCACTTCTGGGTACTCTACTAACTACCATCATCGTCATTATTGGGACTTGATCTTGTTCTTTTCTCATTTTAAACATTAAATACTGAAATTACTTAAGAACAAGATCAAGTCCCAACAGACCTTTTTTTCTCCTCTCCCCACTATCTTCAGCAAACATTTAGTTGGTATCTTGTGTTCTTTTGAGAGGATATGACTTAAGGTGCATGTGTGCAGACTCTCCCCTCTCCAGCACACTACAACATATTTTTTTCTGGTCTTGGCAGTCCCTTTCTATCTGTCCTTGCCAATTCTGTGGGTTTTTAAAGCTTTCTATACAGACTCCCACTATGCTAGCTGTTGCGGAGTTCAAAGCTTGCTTGTAGCCTTTGTTGTTGCCAGACACAAATACAGTCACATGTGCACACACAGGAGCACACAGGTTGTCTTGACATTTCTCCTCTCCCTAGCATTGTGTGGCAGTGTCAGGATTCTATCCTTCACCTTTGTTGGTCCCACCAGCTGGAGCAGGAACCAATCAAGATAATAAAGGGGGTACACATTTCCTATGATCAGCCCATTCTAACTAATTAACCTGTTTTCCACCTCTTGGAAAGTACTTCTGCAAAACCTTGATTGATGTATCATCTAGTTCGACCTCTAAGAAAGTTCTTTTCATCAGTTTGCTGCAGCAAACATTTCCTTCAAACTGTTCCTCTTTGGAGCTACCCAGAGGGAGTAAGAATGACCCTTGAAAAGATCCAGGTCAATAAAGCTTTTGACTATTTCTCCTCGTTTAATATAAAGCAGTGGTAGGTTTCTTTGTAGAAAAGCACTTGGAAAATAAGAACAGTTCCCCCAGTCTTGTAACTAATATTCTCTAAGATCTCTAAAATACAAGCCGTGACATACCTACCTCACAGAGTGGTTGTGAGGATCTGTCAGTTGTATTAGTGCATCTAGTTAGGTTTGTCTAGAGTAGTACAATGTAAGTTTTAAATACAGCTATGAATAGAAGCCTTCATAGCCCCCTCATGTAGCAGGGACTGCAAAAACCACTTCACTCTTGGATATATGGGCTAGAGTTGATGAGAGCTGCAGATAGGCAACCTCTACAAAACTACATTCCCCATCCCTGCTCTAAAACAGGGATCTGCACACTTGCACTTTCCATGTCTCCTGGACTACAGTCACACAATCCACAACCATGCTGGCATATGAGAGTAGTCTGAAGGGCACCAGGTTGCCCACTTTTTCTCTGGAACTTTAGCCCTGAAAGGAGTAGGTGAATATTTCATATTCAGTGGTGTAAATTTACTGAGGGGCTGATCCTTCATTGAATGTCAAGAATATACTTCAGTGATGGTTCTGGAAGATTTCAGATGTTTGACCTTTGACTACAATTCTTTTTTTTTTTACTACAAACCAGAAATCTCATCTGTAGAGGATGTTTGTTTTGAACACTACAGTGCAAATGTTATACTGATTCTGGCTTCCTAACTGTATAGTTTGAGAATATAGTACTTCAAGATGTGCTATGACAAATAAATTTAAGTGAAAACACATGTACATCCACAGTTTTTATATTGGAGGGTCTTATTTCCTTGGACTAATGGACACAACTAAGGACCAAAGGAGACAAAAAGACTAAATGCATGCAGTTTTTAAAAACTTTGCTGATAGCATGTTCATGGAATAATAATTACAGGGATCACAACACTGTCATAGTCACTCAAGCATTTCCTTCAATGCAGCTTTAGACAATGGGATTTCCTCAGGCTTACAGCCAGGAATAAAATGGTTGGTTAAATTTACCCTTGCCCTTTACCTGCTGTGATGCTTATAATTATCCGTCTCCCCAGTCAATATTATTTGAATTTAATAAACATTTTCAAAATAGCAAAGTACAGTAATACAATACATGGAAGCTATACTTTCATTTGGCACAAACCTTAAACTGTTATGTTTATTTTATATGCTTTCAATTAACTGAGTTGTCATTAATACTCAGAGAATTAAACCAGAA